TCGGTCAAATACTTACTTTGCCAGTGGAGAAATTTAAGGATAACTGATCCGAAATTAGTTGTATCTACGCCCAGTGTCACTAAACTATCCAAGGAATAGGTTCATTCATACTGTAAAGCTTATGATATGTTTTCATACTTGTTGCAGCAGAGTTTCAGAAGAGGATTGAGAGTTTTTGTGGTGCCACACTAAGTATATGTGTTGTATATTAACAAGGAAAAAAGGAAGACAAAAGACTTTCATGTTACATAGATACAAAGAAAACATACTGTATATTCTTTACACTGGCACGATTTGATCAGCAAGGTCACTGTAGCAACAAGAAAACCGCAAGATAAGCAGCTGCAATGAGAAACCAGTATAAGAGGAACGACTTCATAGATTAAAAAAGATGATATTTTGTGTTCAGCTCTCTTCGTGGCAAGATGGATCCTGAGGTAAGATATGTGGGGTAGCCTGAAGAAGTCTTCTATTTATCAGTTTCTATTTCTATTATTTCATTTATTTTTTGTTTTATATGATGAATATGACCTTTCTCAAATGTTTGCCCTACTTACAGTCATTTTCAACGCTCTGGGAGACGTCATTTAAACTGAATCATAGACACACTCATACATTGTTTCACAATTATATGCATTTGAAACCTCAAGGAGGACAGTTCGCAAAATCAGGATTTGAAGGACTTTGTTTTGCTGTGGGCTTTGTCTGCTCATGGGCAGCGGAGACCACCACAGCAGAGCATTTAAACACACATGGTAGTTTAATGTTAGGAAAAAAAAAAAAAAAAAAGATTCAAAGTTCATTTGGTTTCTTCTTACAGAGAAACTCTATGTATATTTGTTTTTGGGCCATTTTGCGTCACTGCAATGGACTCTCAACCTTTTTAGCTTGAGACACTTAACAAAATAGTAGTGTGTGAATGAGGCCCTCTTGTCATGTTTCATGTGTCTACTAGTTTCACCAGAGATTTACTCCTCTGCACTTCACAGATGGTTTCATCTGAATAACAGTTTGAGGCTCAATGGGGTTAAGATATCTGGTGTTTCACACAAAAAGCAAAGATCACATTAAAGTCTGGAGAAAAAAAAATGCAAACCTGATAAGAAGAGCTTCAGTGTAAGCCCTTAATCATCTCATCACTCTGATGTGACCCATTCGAGGGGCCCCACCCAACTGGAATAAACTAACCAACAGTATATAAAGTTGTTAAAAGCAGCTACAACAGTGAAATACTGCGTACACATTGATGTATCCATATGCAGTAACCAATCCAGCAATGCAATGTATGATAACACTAAGGGACCATTTTACAGAACAAGTATTTCTTTACTAAAACTTTGCTTTCCTTTACTTGAGTATTACTTTGAATGACGATACCAGTGTACTTTTTCGTCACTGTATTGGTACTCTGCCTGAAGTAAAACATCTGAGTAGTTCTAACACCACTGTGCCGCCATTGTCGTCGCTACACACCTTTAAAATTAAACACGGTGGTTGTTCTGAGAATGTAGTTGTAGTAATTGCTGATTTGTGCGGTGCATATCTGGCCGGGCTGATTCAGATCTTGAGTGGTTGTTTCCAGACTTAATTCTCATAGTGAAAACAGAGCGTGAGAGATACAGTCTGGCTGAGTGATGCTTAAACTTTGTCACTTTGAAACCAGCTAAAGTGATTTTCTTTTATCACTCTACTATTTCCATTACAGCTACATGTACTGCATTCTCTGCTGCTACTCTTACTATTACCTCTTTTAACGTCAAAGTGGTCTAATTGACCCTAGAGAGGTTGTAGGACTATGTAGAATAACATATATGACATCAAATATTTCCTTATTTGGTGTATTTACAATGTATTCATAGTATAATGATAATCCATGCAAATTTATATACTTTGTAACCTTTATCAAGTGTGTAAACATTTTGATTCAGTTAAACAAAAGTGGGTGTGATGCATTTGCTTTATTTTGCAAATCAATATTTTGTTCGTCTTTCAAACCATTTAATTCAGCTGAAGTTGTTCTTCAAGACTTCTCTCTGCCCTGGCTCTACTAGTGGAAGGAACTCCCCACCAAAATCAGGACAGTAGTACCACTATGTATTTACTTATGTGGGTGTGTACTGCTTTGATGTGTGTGTGTACCACCTGGGCTGTCCTTAGGGTGTCTGAGGTTTCTGATCGCAGTGGGTTTGCCAAACAAATCTGAAGCACCTGGGTCCAGGCCTTTGTCTGACATACAGTATAAGCCCCAGTGGTAGGCATGAAACTCCGACTACCCTACCCCATGAGTACCCTGTGGTCAGAAACACATATCAACTTAATCCCTTAAATGATTAGCCAACACTTAAGTTGGCATGATTTGCATGACTCTTTTTAGGGTCTTGTAGGGTCCTGTTGAATGCAATCCATTTTTTTGTCAGACCTGTTTCAGAAACGAGGTACACGAGAAAATACAGATTGGGTCTGACTGAAGAAAACTGCTGTTACAGTTACTTTTGTTCAAATACTGCTGTTATCCTTCTGCTAATTTTAGCCTTCAATTCAGCCTTTCAGCATTTTATGACCACCTCAATGGCCAAGGTAACTTCTATTTCTACTATATTATATTCTATACTGCTGCTGATGAGCATCATATTCATTATTGCGCTCATCCCAATTACAGACTCAGGCTCCAACTGATAGGCTACATTAGCAGGGCTGATATCTGCTGATTTTAGCTTTTGCCGCCATGATATAGATTGTCCCCCAGAGGTTTACTTCTTAGTGTGCTGCTCAGTACATTTCCTCGTCATGATTTGTAGAAAGAAGAAGAGAAAGAAGAAGAAATATGGGATCCATCCCAATATATATTCATATTAAAAAGCGAACAATTCATCCAACCCATACAACCACGTGGCCGTATGTTCCTACCCTCTGAACACGACCCATAGGAACATTTCCTAAATTAGCACAGAACGACATGTACATGACCAATAATGGTTACAGTTTTAAACACGTGGTTAACGTTGTGAAACGGTCACAGCTGCACCAAAACTGTGTGGTTTAGTTTAGAAAACAAGACTGTGGTTTCACTTTTAAAAAAAAGAAAACAAAAGTAGGCTATGTTTGTTACTAAGGTAACATAATGTTACGTATCTCACGTGGCATACGCAGTGTCCAGCTCATTACTCTAAAAATGTAATTAATTACTCATTAGTCGTTATTTTTTTGGAAAATAATAATGTTACTTGACTTATTTCTCCCTACCAACAGTAATTTGTTACAGTACTCATTATATTACTTTTCCGTTACACCCCATAAAATTGGTAATTGCGTATCTCCCCAAACTTAAGACGTGTGCCTCTGTTTAGTGTAGCAAAGGCCAGATAACTTCTTTTTTACCTGGGGGTTTTCTGTTGCTTGTGACCGGTATTTTCCCAAGGCGCTGCCTGAAAGACACTCATGGAGCAGCATGTCATCCACCACATATCCGGCCACAAGCTTCATCCCTTCTTTAAAGCCTGCAGCTGTCCACGATTAAAATCCAGTTTTGGCTGTTTAGTGAAGTTGTTTAGGGCCAAAGCCAACCTCCGCAGGGTATATTTCCTGGAGCTTCATGTCAGTCGATAGTAGCCAAGGTGTTTAAGACCGGGGGTTTGAGTTTTTTGCAGTGGGAAGAGTTTTACTCCAACTACCTGTAGCAACACGGTGCTTGTCATCTTTCCTCCCGACAAAATCAAAGTAATGGGAATATTTCCAGCCGCTAAGGTTAGCGGTTCCAACTAGCTTGCATCTTTGTGATGTGAAGCGCGACGATTACTAAAATGAGTTCAGTGTTGTGATGTTGTATTTCAAGTCAGTCGTGATGTGATTACATAAGTTATGATGTAAATAATTGTTTGGTTTTGGAGTCATTGTATTATTACAGAAATTTTATTAGTAATAAGGTACACCACTTGTTACTGGAAAAAAAGTAATATACTGCCCAACACTGGACATGTGTGACATATGTCATATGACTTTTGTCACGTATGTCACATGATAACATCATATGACATACTACAGCAAACATTGTTAAAATAACTCATTGATTCTTGGTTTCACACGGGACATGAACAGCCATCATCTGGACGAAAGTCCTATGTTTGTTTGACCTGTTCACCTGAATACAGTAGCGGTCTGGCTCTCATTATAATAATAGTCATAACAGTCATTTTTGACGAGACTAGACATCTCACACAACAAACTTGTAATAATAATAATAACAATAATAATAATAATTGTAAAAAATAAATGTAAATCATAAAAAAACACAAATTACAAAAATAACAAAATCAGTTTTAT